TTTAACTAAAAATAAACAATATATTCCGTATATGATTTTTCAAATAAAAAAAAATTAAAAAGAATTACTAATGAAATTTATTTTAAATAAAAATAAAATATATTGCATTGGTGATAATATAAATTAAAAAATAGAGAATAATTTGATTAAATTACCGACGGATTAACGATAAAATTTAAATAAACTCGTATTTAAATAAAATTCGTTGCTAGTGTTCATTGATATATATGTATGGATTACTTATATCTAATTGATGACTAACTTGACCATCGTCAGACGCTCTAACACATTAACATTGAAAGATTGTGCTTGAATATTATCAGTGATATCATTTCACCGACGGATTCGACGAATTTTAATTAATTATGTATTTAGTCAAATTTTATCGTTAATCCGTCTTATATTTTTTAATTTAAAAAATCACTAACGCAATATATTTTATTTATAATTAAAATAAATTTCATCAGTAATCATTTTTAAATTTTTATTTTATTTTTTTAATTTGAAAAATCACATACGGAATATATTTTGTTTTTAGTTAAAATAAATTTAATCAGTAATCATTTTTTATTTTTCTTTAGTTTGAAAAATCACTGACAAAATATATTTTATTTTTAATTAAAATAAACTTTATCAATAAACTTTTTAAATATAAGTATTTTTTTGATATAATTGTTTCATTTTATAGATGTAATTACTTTTTTGGTTTAAGAAATGTTTAGGGACTTAATCGTTCAATATATGAAAGTCTATTGTTTTTTTTTTTTCCAGACTTTTTTCATTATTTTACCATATTAACCAGTTATATACGTCATAAGAATGTATCTAACAGATTTTAAAAAGTTCAAGAAGTTATTTAACAAGTTTTGGAATGTCTAAGGATTTATTTGTTCCAAAACATTATCCAAACACTTAATCATTCTAAACACTAAAGTTCATTGTTTTTTTTTTTAGATTTTCCCCAAAAATTAAAACATGTTTTGATAATTTAATAATTGAACAAAGAGCAAATTACATTTTCGTCCATATGGTTAGTTAATTATTATAATTCTTGTCATTGTAGTTTAGATATTGCGTTTTTTATCCTTATGGCTTGGAATTAAGATAACGTTTGGTACGCAGACATGATTAACAAGACTGGATTGGACAGGACTGGACAAGTCAAGATGGTAGAATTGGACAAGACGGGACGAGACAGAACAAGTGTCTGTCTGGTGTTTGTTACGACTAGAACTGGACATGATAGAACTAGATAAGTTGTCCCAAAAAGTTATTTTATGATTTTATATATTATATAATAATTATAATTAACACAAATAAAGTAAATAATTTAATTTATAAACATTTTTACACAATTATCATATACATAAATATAAAATGATACCAAATTTGAATGAAAAGTTTATATAATTGATGGTATTTTGATAAAACCCGATTCATACAAAGAATAAATTATGTTTTATTCGGTTTGGAAGATTCTTATTAATTGGTGAAGACACGATAAAGATTGTTGCAACAACAATTATTGTGGAGGTAGACGCATTGGTAACTGATGGACGATAGTGGTTATGAAGGACGTGAAGATGGTGGATAGTGGTGATGGTGGCGGTTAACAGTGGTGAAGTAGGTAGTTGTGGCCTATGTGGTGGAGGTAGGTGTGATGGTGGACAATGATGGTGGTCGACGAAGCTAGTGGTAGTGGAGATGGATGGTTATGGTTGTGGAGGACATGAATATGGTAGAAAGTGGTAGTGGTAGCCGATAGTGGTGGCCGACGGTGGTGGTGGTGGGCAGTGGTAGCCGGTGGTGGAGGTAAGGTGGCTCATGGATCATGGTGGTGGCGATGAACGATGTTGGTCGGTGGCTGACGAAGATTGTGGAGGTGGTGGAAGAGGTTGTTTAATAAATTGTAAATCATAAAGACAAAAATCATAATATTTAAACAACAAAAACAAAAACAAAAATCAAAATTCAAAACAAACCACATGACGAAAACCGTGATATACCCTTAATCATGTTTTTTTTAATATAAAGGTGGTATTTCATAGACTCAAATTTCCCTTTTTGCAAGGCCACATGTAAACAGAAGGTTAAAAGTACAACTTTTTATTGCACGTCGTACATATAACTTTGAATCTTCTAACTTTTACTTTTAAAACCATTAAACTCAAAATCTAAATTATGTAAAATAATAATACCTTTCATAAATATTGATTTATTTAGAAAATCTAAATATCCATTTAGGGATGATGATTTGTCCCGACCAGGTGAGGAACCCGGTTCACCCGACCTGAACGGGGACGGGGATTCCCCACTAAAACGAGTCCCGGGGCCGGGGCCCCCGGTAGAATCAAAATAAAGAATAGGGTTTGACCGAGGACGGGATAATAATCCCCGTACCCGCCGGGGACCGGGGCCGGGCCAGGGGGATGTTACTACAAACCGGGGCCGGGGATTACAAAAACCCGCCCCGTTGCCATGCCTATATTCATTTGATGGGATTTTTATGAGATTTGAAATCAAATTTTAATTTTAATTCTAATTCTATGTTTCAATCTATTGGATAAGGGTATATATAATTATTTATTTATTTATCCATTTATCTATGTAATGACTTCTCCTAGTGACATCATCCCACGCTCGATGATTCATTCTCATTGCCAGATAGTCAATAATCAAGTTGAAAAAGAACAAAACTGCTTACCGTACTATCAAACGATATAGCATGTACTTAAATTCTCGTCCTATATACATGTAATGGCTATTACAAAACAAAGTAGATGATGGAAATCTTAAGTAACGAATTGCTGTTGCACCGTAACTTTGACCGTGATTTCCGATTTTCATCTCATAACTTCCAAGTAATCAAGCTTCAACCTTCGACTTCGTTTTATATTCGATGCTATTAGAAGGATGATCATTTTTGAAGGGTAATTTTTGGACATTGAAATAATCAAATAATCGCCCACAAGATAGTAATTGAACTTAAAAATATATAGATAATATTATATTTGATTTGGGATCGTCTGAGATAAAGCAATTTTTGCGAGATCATAGACTGTAAACCGTTTGATGAGGTTGTTTATCTCGTCAAATCTTGACTGAAAAAACACAAAATCTTTACAGGACCGAATATTCGTATAAAAGCCAATTGAATATTCATAGAAAAACACACGAAACGTTTTTGGTGTGAATCTTAACTTTCATCATATGTCTTGCTCCCTCATTAAAATGTTTGGTCCCACGAGAACCCTGACTTATATTACATTTACTCTTAAGCTGAGTGCTGTTTTTCCAAATCTGATTATTTTTAGAAAAAAAACTGACAAAATAGTCAATTTAGACTCTCCAATTCACTTTAGAGTCACCTGATATGTGTTGAGAATTCAACACATAATGCATTTCGTTTACGCTTTTTAGTCAAAATTAGTTTCTTTTCATTCTCACTTTGAGTCATTTTGAATTATTTCTTTATACTTTTATTATGGAGCTAAAATATTGTGGTTAAACTTGTTGGGATGCAAAGATACAAGCTAACAGAGAATTTTTGTTAAAACAGCCTGATGCTACAGCATTGCAGCAACAACTACCAGATACGTGCACGGTTTTGCGAGGGCTTAACGATTAAGCTGCTGACTTTTGGATGCTGAATGGAAGACAGCTGGAAGACTTTTTTAATCAGGGATTTTTGAATTAATATGTCTTCTTGTACTTAAGATTCCCTTTTATTAACTTTTGGACATTAACTAGTGGTTAATATCTTTGTTGTTTACTGCAAGACTTTGTGTATAAATAGTGGGCTTAACCTTGTGATTTAAACACACTCTTTAACATATATCAAAGATCAAAATCAGCTGGTTAGGGCTGATTTTGAGAGAACCTTTTGAGAAATTTCAAGTTCTTGAGTTTTAAAGCTTTCATCTTTTAATTCTTGTCTTTTAATTTCTTATTCTTTATTTTATGTTCTTTTACGTTTATTGTTATTTACTTTCCGTTATTTAATTTCCGTAATTTACATTCTCGCAATTTATATTCTCGTCATTTACATTTCCGTCATTTATTTTCTCGTTATTTACTTTTGTGGTAAATTTAACGGGTGCACCTTTAAATTGAAGCAAATGCCCACAAAACTGCTCAGTGTGTTATTAGCCTAATTTCGCCCGCCATTCAAGAGATTTTATAAGTTTTTTAGTTGATTTCGAGAGACTTTTTTAAGTTTTTAATTGATTTCAAGGGCTTTATTTTACTTTTGTGGTAAATTTCGAATGACTTTTTTTGGGCATTCGAAACTTGAGTAAGAAGTAAATCTTTTTATAGTTTTCTAGAATTAGAAAGTCTGATTTTGTATAATTTCTCAACTCTAAGGATTTTTGGGCATTAAAAAACCGTTGCACCTTTCATATCCAAAAAATTTATTCTAACAATTTTACATTTAGCGAGTGCATGGAAACCCGCTCCTTTGGCTGTAGGTTCGCCCTTGCACATAATGCCTCTTTTTTCCGTTCTTTTAATTTGAAAAAGTGAATTATGCAAGTTATGTAATTTCCGACAAAAAATCTGTTAACGAGTTTAAAAGATGGATATGAAACAAACGTAAGATGTCTCATTAACTATTTTAGTTGATTTCCGCTTGTTTTAACATAAAAAACCAAATTTAAATCCTCAAATTTGTCTTTTTATGTCATCTGATACACCAACTACATTTGCTTTACAACAAGGGTACCCGCTTGCTGTCACGCAGTCAAGAGTCCCTCTCTCTCTCTCGACCACTGTAATTTGAAAGCCTGTACGTATATGTCGCCATATATATGTATACCTATACATACACACTTTACTACACTATCTATATCTATATATACACACACTCCAGATCTCAGTGTCAATGGTGTCTTGTCCACTAAAAATTGCCCTTTTTTCTGCTGCTCCCTCAAACAATCCCTCTCTGTAAACAGTTTTTTCTTGGAAAATTGAAAGTTTTCCCTCCACCCAGAAACAATATCATGGAAACCAAATCGAATTCCAAATGGGTTTTGTTGTTCTTGATTATAACTCAACTGGGTTGTCAACTAATCGATTGCAGTGTCACTTATGATAGCAAAGCCATTGTTATCAATGGTGAAAGAAGAATCCTCATTTCTGGTTCTATACATTATCCAAGAAGCACACCTGAGGTACCCTTTTACCATTTTTGATATATAGATTTGATTAATGTCAAATGTGGGTAGTTATGATGGAGTTGAATTTGTGGGGTTTCTTGATGAAATTGTTTGCAGATGTGGGAAGATCTTATAATGAAGGCTAAAGATGGAGGACTTGATGTGATTGATACTTATGTCTTTTGGAATGTTCATGAACCTTCTCCTGGCAATGTACCTTCTTTTTTCAGATAATTTATGATGCAGATTACATAAATTCTCTGTTTTTTTTTAATTAATGAAGTTTTTGGGTGAAATTTCAGTATAATTTTGAAGGGAGATACGATTTGGTGAGGTTTTTGAAGACCGTACAAAAAGCAGGGATGTATGTTCATCTTCGAATTGGACCTTATGTTTGTGCAGAATGGAATTTTGGGTAATTTTCTATGTTTTCTTGATTTTAATCCTCAAAAACAAGAAAATGCAGTTCATGCAGTGGGCTTATAAGGGTTTAACTTCAATAGAACTCCATATTTGACATTTTGTAGTCAAACAAATTACTCTTTTTTGGTAACTGTGGGTTTCCGGAACAGCTCACACCCACCTGAGCCCAGGTCACCGCCCCGCCTAGAGTCATAGGTGAACCTCTGTGGAAAACAGCTTTGACAGGGTCAGGATTTTAACCCGAGGAAGATGAGATTTCCACGGCAACCCGAGTGGTTAATTACTTTCTTTTTAGTACCCAAAACTCATAGAACTCGCATTAGAACCCAGAAAAATTCTGGAATCTTGCATTGAACTATTTGAATAAGATGTCATCAAAGCATTTTAGGGTTAAATGGCTTTATATTTCTGGGTCAATTTTGAATATGGAAAGTGGCAAGATGGACTTCCAAAAAGATAGAGATTAAAGGGGTAATTTTATGATATGCAGAGGATTCCCAGTTTGGCTGAAGTATGTTCCTGGAATTAGTTTCAGAACAGATAATGAGCCATTTAAGGTCACAATTCTCTACCTTTTAGTAATACAATCGAAGCTATGAGCGAAAACCGTAACTTCTGCTAACTTATTTGCAGATGGCAATGAAAGGGTTCACCGAGAAAATTGTGAATTTGATGAAGAGCGAAAAGATGTTCGAATCTCAAGGAGGCCCGATTATTCTTTCTCAGGTATAAACGATAGTGAATGTTAGTCTTGATTTTCAAAACTTCATGACAAAATTCAATGCTTTTTAGCTAGTTTTTACCAAACATGACTATTTTATCAGCTAACAGCTAGCTTATCTACCAACAACCACTTTATCAAACTAGTTTATCAACCATAGCCTAAATGTTGTTTGGTGCAGGTTGAGAATGAGTATGGATCAGTAGGGAAGGCATATGGAGGTGCTGGCCATACTTACATGACTTGGGCTGCAAATATGGCCATTGGATTGGGTACGGGTGTCCCGTGGGTCATGTGCAAGCAAGATGATGCTCCTGATCCTATTGTAAGCTATCCGTTTGTCCGATTGGGCTTGGTTGGGTCGGCCTGGGCTGTTCCTTTTTGCAGCCTGACCGAAGTATAAAGCTCTAAGCATGAAATATCTCTTGAAAACAAAATTGCTTACTTTTTTCGGGTCATTGGTGACAGATAAACACGTGCAATGGTTTTTACTGTGATGACTTTTCGCCGAACAAGCCTTACAAACCCGCACTCTGGACCGAGGCTTGGAGTGGATGGTATGTTACTTATATTTTGAACTCCATTGAGATCATATGTTCACTGATCAAATGTCCATCTCTTCAGGTTTTCGGAATTTGGCGGTCCAGCTCATCAGAGGCCGGTTCAAGATTTGGCATTTGGTGTTGCTCGATTCATACAAAAGGGTGGATCATTCATAAACTACTACATGGTTGGTTTACCCACTTTATGCCAATAGGGAAAAGTACGTTTAGAAACCTTAAATATTTTGAGAACCAAGGAACCAATATTCATAATGAATATTCATGATATTTATAATGAATCTTCATGATCTTCATTATGAATATATGTTTCTCAAAATATTTACGGTTCCCAAATGAACCTGCCACTATGCCAATATCACTTTTAAGTAACACCTGAAAACATGTGTGTTCGGAAAACAGTACCATGGAGGCACAAACTTTGGTCGTTCCGCTGGAGGCCCGTTCATCACTACTAGTTACGACTATGATGCTCCACTTGATGAATATGGTGAGGTTAAAACTATATATTTGGATTTTGATTTCAAGTTCAAACCATAACTTTCTGAAATCAAATTCCCAATACACATCTTGAGAAATCCATATTTGACCTCAAGATTCAAACCCATCTCTGTCGATTATAGAATATGTGGAACCCCATCAGATCACTCTCCAAAGAGCTCTTGAAGAGAGAAGATGATTTCAACATATATCGACGAGAAATGATCCAAGTCTAGCCAGTGTGGAACTCTTGCATGCCCCCTCCAACGGAGGCTAGAAGGACGCATATTGTCCTAGAGTATCGAGTCCCTGGAATGGTAGACCTTGGATACCATGTTAGAATATAAGGAACCCCACTAGATTTTTCTCCAAAAGAGCCCTTGAGGAGAGAAGCAAGGTTCCAACATATATCGAGCATAAATGGTCCAAGTCTGGCTGATGTGAGACTCTTAACACTCGAGTGTCAGAAATGTTAATCTTTTACTAATGAATCCGTATAGGCTTGATCAGGCAACCGAAATATGGCCATTTGAAGGAGCTTCACAAGGTCATTAAGCAATGTGAGCCTGCTTTAGTTTCAGCAGATCCCATTATCACCTCTTTGGGAAGCCTTCAACAGGTTCTGATCTTCATATATATATATATACACATAACTACAATACATTTTCCCCAAAAAAACTGGAAAAAAAATCCTTACTAAACAATTAACGTTTTCCAGGCGCATGTATTCTCTCCCAGATCACAAAACTGCGCAGCCTTTCTCTCAAACTACGACCCGAATAATGCTGCAAAAGTGACGTTTAATAACAAGCACTACACTTTACCTCCTTGGTCGATCAGCATCCTTCCTGACTGCAAAAGCGTTGGTTTCAACACAGCAGAAGTACGTAACTTTGATCAAGGCTATGTTTGGCAAATTAGTTGATAAGCTAGCTCTGATAAATTAGTCATGTTTGATAAAAACTAGCTGATAAGTTAGATGACAAATGATAATGACCTAAAAGTTAGGGTCTTTGATCATTTATGTAAAATATAAGGGGCATAGTTAGAAAAAAGTGGAAAAAAAACCCCTAGAGCTTATTCAGAAAACTAGCTTATCAGCTAACAGCTACCTTATTGTTGCCAAACATGGCCCAAGTTTACACTAGCTATTACCTTTATACACATCTTTTTTATAATGCTATAAAACCGGTGCAGGTTGGAGTTCAATCCAGACAAATGGAAATGTTACTGAGCGATTCCAAAATGTTTTCTTGGGAGACATATACCGAAGATGTAACCAAAGCTGATGAGAGCTCTGTATTCACTACAACGGGTCTATTGGAGCAAATTAATGTCACAAGAGATGCTAGTGATTATCTTTGGTATACAACTAGGTAAGACTCGTATTTTAAGGTATCCTATTGACGTTAATCTTATAAATAACGAATATGGTGTTTTATTTGGTATAGTGTTGATGTTGGTTCATCTGAACATTTCTTGCATGGAGGGGAGCTCCCAAAGCTTTTGGTGCAGTCATCCGGTCATGCTCTTCATGTGTTCGTAAATGGAGAACACTTAGGTATGTTAATGGGATATTGGTTTTCTACTTAAACCCTAAACGCTAAACCCTAAACCATAAAGCATTTGTAGGTTCTGGTTTTGGAACTAGAAAACATAGGAAAGTTACGTACAAAAAAGAGATCAATCTACGTGCCGGAAGCAACAAGATCGCATTACTTAGCGTGGCCATGGGATTGCCGGTTAGATTCTTGATTTTCTACTATTTATATTGGTTGCAATAGAAAGACTAAAAAAGTTCTATTTTTGTGAAGAACATCGGAGGACATTATGAAACATGGGAGACTGGAGTCTTAGGTCCGGTGGCTTTGTATGGTCTTGACCAAGGGAAACGGGACTTGTCATGGGCTAACTGGACTTACCAGGTTCGACTACTTTGTTCTCCCACTTTAACTTGATGTTTTTGATTTTACCAGGTTTGACTGTTTGGTTGGTTTTCCATTAAGTCCTGTATGGATAAAATTGTCTGTCTAAATTAGATTTTTTTTTGCTTGGGATGGTTTTTTCGTAGATGGAGTGAGCATTTTTCTAATTGGGAGGGGCATGCTCGAAAAACCTTGGCTTTCTGCATAAAGCTCCATCCTAAAAACTTACTGAATAAGTCACTTTCTATATATCATTAAGCCATTTCCAAACTGTCATGTATAGCTGAGTGAATAAGCTGTGAGTGTCATTAAGCTGCTAACAAACAGATCCTTAGTTTCTAAGCTTATCAAAGAAGCCTCGCTTGGTATGCTATAAGGTAGCTTTTTGGAAAGCTACTTTAGATAGCTTATTGGGGCTTCTTCACTCATTTCCAATTACGCCCCTTATATTTCGCTTTTTAGGTCATTTTGCATAGTTATCTAGTTTATCAACTAGTTTTTTGAACAGGTTGGTCTGAAGGGAGAGGCCATGAATGTTATCTCGTCAAATCCTATGTCTTCTATCAATTGGAATCAAGATTCTTTGATTGCCCAGAAACATCAACCATTAACATGGTACAAGGTATGGCAAACATACAAACAAATCATCATCGGTAAAAAGCTTCATATGTTATGAAAAACTTCATAACCACGTTGAACTTTAGAAACGATAGCGGAAAGGAGAAATCTTTATGTGAAATCACATACATGCCGAGCCTGCATTCATCTCACCCCCAACCCCGCCTCCGGATGAGATATAATGGGCTTGATTGGTTTGGTTTCATAAGTGGATTTGTCCAGTTGACAATGAAAACCAACTTAATTTTGTTTTCAAAACAGTAATCAATGAATCAAGCCATAAGGGTCCTAAATTCTTTGCAGGCTTACTTCAATGCACCTGATGGTGATGAGCCATTGGCTCTAGACATGAATACTATGGGAAAAGGTCAAGCATGGATCAATGGGCAAAGCATTGGCAGATATTGGACAACTTATGCTACAGGTGATTGCCAAGGGTGCCATTACGCTGGAACCTATCGCCCATTGACGTGCCAGCTTGGGTGTGGTCAACCAACGCAGAGATGGTAAGACCACTGCAAGACATGACACAAATTCTATCTTTTTTGGTAACTGTCGGTGTCCGTGCCCGCTTGCACTCACCTCGACTAATCCTATGGGTCCTGAAGATAACAGCCAGAAAAATCCCAATGGCTCTAAGGAAACTCTAATCCTATGGGAAGGAGACCCAAGGCCTGACCTTTATTTGTCTGTTGAGCTGGCCCCAAGGTTAATGTTATGCACATTTACTGACAGATTAGGTATTGTTTCAGGTACCATGTGCCAAGATCTTGGTTAAAACCGACAAATAACTTGTTGGTGCTTTTTGAAGAACTTGGCGGTGACCCTATTAAAGTTTCACTAGTTAAGAGATCAACTAACTAACACCAAATGTGATAAAGAGGATTTAGCCTAGTTCCTTTAAGGGATTCCAAATTGTGAGCTTCGTGATGGAAACTAGTCCTTTCGCTCTTGTGGAATCTGGAACGAGGTGTTGGGTTTGATCACCAAATGGGTGATGGGAATGGTGTGATTTCTGTAAGTTGTTTATGTTATAATGGGGGAAAAATGAACCCCCAGATTAGGTTCTTGTTTAGGTAGATCATATAGTGGATAACATTGTTCAATTGAGTCCCAGTTGTACTTATGCTTTTATCTTGGTCAATTTTATTTTTTCCATCTCTTTCATCATCTTTTTTGCACATAAGGTGTTTGTAGTTTTGTTTCAACAAGAGATGGCACCTGATGTCTTAACAAAATCAAAATCAGACCAATGCTTCAAGTCCTCTTTAGTCGATGGCTTCGGGTTCGGTTCTTGGAAGAAAGCTATGGAGATAGAATTATCACCGAAGAACAAGCTTGGTTTTGTTACTGGAAAGATGTTAAACCTCAAACCGATTCTTCTGATCTTGTTCAATGGCAGCATGCAAGGACATGGTGACTTCTAGAAATTGGTTACCTACATCATGTTAACCCTAAAAAACTACCTATAACCGGTTAATAAGGTTTTAATTAACAAAACTAAATCAGTTTTACCGTTCCCAAACCCTACGCCATTAAAATCTATCGCTGCCCTATCGTAGGCTTCGGGTTTTTTTTTAACTTTTAAACCTTCATAGCTGTTTACAAGTAGTTTTTTAGTTAAAAGGATGAAAGTTACCGATTTCTAAAAGTTTGATGACTTATTTAGTTATCTATCTAAAAAACTGTTTAAAGACTTGATCATTCAAAATGAGAAAGTTCAATTGTTTATTTATTCCAAAAAAATTTTAAGAACTTAATATTTTAAAATGGAAAAGTTCATTGGGTTACTTTGAACTTCTTCTATTAATAATCTACTAAAGATATCCAGAAAGACCTAGATGCAATGGCGGATCCAGAACCTTGGCAACCGGGACACGTTGGGCTCCGCAAACACCAAGGCAGGACGATGCATCAACTTGATGGCAACAATGCTTTTCCACATGGGGATTTAGATTAAACATCCTTTAGGTTTGGTTTTTATATGATTCTACATTTGTTGCAGACTTAATAAATCTTTATATGGATTAAAACAAGCTTCTAGACAGTGATTATATGCGCTCTTTGTTAAAATTGGCTTCTGATGAAGCTAAGTGACAAAGAGCACTGTGTTTTCCTAACAAAATGGAAATCAGTTGCCATTTTGTTAGATCAAATTACTAGAAGGGATCATTATGTAGCAAAATCTCTTCATTTGTTTGAAGACATGTCCCTAAAAGCACATTATTCAATTAAATTTCAAGCAAACAAAACGAAAAGTTGACAGAAACATATGAAAGAGAACTAGAGGATCTTAGGCTTGTTGGCCTAAGTGTTTATGAATCTTCTAAAGCGAGATACGACTAAATTTGGATGAAGCAAAATCTGAATCATGAACTTGAACCAGAGTTACCAGCATGTTTGATGATCGTCTGTTGAAGTTCTTCTTTCTTTGCACCCACGACCTTGCTGACCGTCTTCCCATCTTTCAGCAACAAGAAAGTTGGCATTGCTTCCACACCCCAATCTGATGCAATTTCCTGCAATGCCCAAAACAAAATCATTCCAAGATTGCCTTCTATAATCAAAAGTAAACTCTTTCCGATTTGTTTCTAACAATGCAAAATACTTCAAAATGTAATAATGTTTGGTTTAGTTCCTATTTAACGTAACAAAGGTTTTTTTTTCCTCGATCAATATAACAAAGATTCAAATTTTCTTATTTTATACCCATTTTGACTTGTGGCCTGCTGATCTTGTAGCATTTGACAACATACAATACCCGTTTATCAAAGGTTCACGGAAAGATGGATGATGAACTTGACATCCATGCCACTAAATATTACAAAATCAGCAGGTTTGTTTACGTCAAAATGGACATAAAATTGACATAAATGTCATCAAATGTTACAAATTCAATAGATTAACGGTTAAAACGACATCTTGAAACTTTGTAACATTGATCAAGAAAAAAATTGAATGTTATATTTAAGAAACCTGTTTGTACCTTCAACTCATCGACATCAACTTTGAGGAAGAGAACATGGGGCATTTTTTTGGCCAGCTCTGAGACAAATGGAGCAATGGCTCGACAAGGTCCACACCAAGAAGCAGCAAAGTCCACAACTATCTGTACAGATATTACACACTTGTTGGGTAAGAATTAAGATCCATTCCAATAACAGGCATCAGACATCATAACTAATTTCTGTTTATCAGTCATCAAATCGAGTGGTTAGACAGTAAACATCATCATTCGGGTCGATTAGCATATGAATCAACCTTCTGTAGATTTAATTGTCTCTACAGATTCCTTAATGAAATGATCTTTTCGCAGAAAATTGCTAACAGAACACCGTAAAATCAAAAGCACGAAGCTGATATGGATAGGAATCCTAATCAGAACAAAAGGAGATCGATAATAACAGTAAGCCATTGATCATTCGAATAATCACATTAGTGTTGACGATCAAAAATCATAATCAACCTAGGCGTATGAGATAGAAATCTGACGACATGACTATGAATCATAATCAAATCGACATAAAAACTCAAAAATTAACACAAGTATGATTGAATGAATGCATGAAATCTGGATAAGAAATGAAGCACAATACCAATTTGTTCTTGCCGTTTTGGAGTTGTTGATTCCAGGCATCAACAGTGTGGCAACTAATCACCTGTCCTTCTTCACCCATTTTCAAAATCTCCCAAATTCGAAGAACGAAGAAAATTTTCTGTTTCGCTTGCTATCAGGAATTTTGTTTAGGATGGTGCTGTATCGCCCCCCTACCATGCTAATATATTCTTTTTATTTATATATATTTTTATTTTATTCTTTATCTTAATTGATATTATAATATGGTCTTATGTGATTTTAAAAAAACGATGATGTTTTTATTTTTCATAAAATATAAATTTGAAGATATCATAAAAAATTTGATAAAAATATATCGATATTAATATCAAATTAACTATTTAAAATTCTTTATTTTTTGGGTAATTTTTAATTCAATTTTTTATAATTTAATTTAGGTTCAACAACGAAGTAATTTATATTTG